GCCCGGTGTCTCGACGTGGCACAAGATAAGACGAGGGCAAGTCCAAGATTTTCTCCTTAAGAAACCGAACAGGTGAGTCTTGCGTCCTGACGTCGGGGTCGATCGTTAGGGCAGACCTTAAGGAACGTGCGGCGAAAGTTTGAAGGAAATCCAGCGAGGGAAAGTGGAGATTTTGGGTGTAGAATATTGAGGTGTCGCGTAGTCTAGCTCGGTTTCCTGGTGGTAGGACTGATGACTGAGTTTGTACGTCAAGTTAGGAGTTGGTCAAAAAACTCGGTTTTCTAATAATTGTTTCAGTTTATGTGATGTTTACGCATTCGCAATGTTTAAAGCCTTGTTGCTGTGTACTTGTTTGCTGATTTTGAGACTTAATTCGGCTAAATAGGAGTTTGTTTACTACTCGATCGATCGACCACAGTGACACGTAGCGTTTCGTACACAGTGTAGGGGGAGGGGGAGGGGGGGGGGTACTTTTTGGGCATGTCTTGTGAAGTTAAGATTATGTTTAAGACCCTTTTTGTCAGGTTTTGAGATTTGTTTTATGTCTTGGTGAAGAATCCAGGAGTTTTGTTTGGTGACCACATCAGAAATTTGGGCGTTGTCTGGTTTTAACTACGCAAAACCTACAAATTTGACTGTATTTTAATTCTCATAAAAATTACTTAAAATAAACTTTTAAAGACTTTGGAAAGTTGTGGACTTACTGGAGTTGTTTTTAAGGTTTCCTAGAATGTGTTAGAAAAATCACTAATTGTTTCTTTCTCCTCTCAACAGGAACAGCCGAATCCAGCAATACCCACCACTGAGGCAACAGAGTTCAGCATGAATCCACAGACAGGCTACAACCAACCCTACCAGGGGGGGTACCAGAACTACGGGGGGCCACCCCCTCCTGGTGGACAGAACAGGGGGTACGGGGGCCCCGTCCCGGGACAACCCCCTCCACAGAATGCCTACATGAACGGACCCCCTTCCCTGGGCCCCCCAGGGGCCAAGCCTTCACAAGGGGGTTATGGAGCACCCCCCTCGCAGAAGGGGCCGTCAGGGGGGTACGGCCAGGGGGGTGGTGACATGCAGAATGGTTTTTCTCACGGTGGCCAGGCGTACGGAGGACCTCCCCAGCAACAACAGTACAGCAGGTGGGTCAGTACAGTATGCTAGCCTCCGTAGCAGGCTTATAGAACTGGGGGTTTGGTGGTCTTCAGCTGTTTTCTGATTAGCCTCCGTAGCAGGCTTATAGAACTGGGGGTTTGGTGGTCTTCAGCTGTTTTCTGATCAGCCTCCGTAGCAGGCTTATAGAACTGGGGGTTTTGTGGTCTTCGGCTGTTTTCTGAATAGCCCAGTTCTAAAAACGGGGGTAATTCAACCAGGCCGGCTATGTTGTCTATATGCAATCAGAAAATAGCGCATAAAAGCTCCCAAAGACCCAGAAGACCCCCAAAACTCCCAGTTTTTGGCATGCTATGGAGGCTAACACCAGTAACAGTATGCATTACTGTGAAACAAATAGGAGTGCGTAGAAACAGGAAAACCTGACTCCCGGGACGCCGGGAATCAAACCCGCACCAGCGCGCTAACGACTATGCTAAAAGGTCCAGCCCGTTGGAATGGATCAGTTAGCAGCGCTTGAACCCCGCTGTTACAACTGTAATTCCTGGTTTTGACTCCTGTGAACATGTAAATTCTTAGATTTTGCTACCTTGGAGACAAAGTGGATTACAGTATATTATGTTAGTGGGGATGTTGAATCCCAATTGTTGTTATTCACGCAACTTGCATGTGTTAAAGAGAGGGTTACAGTCCTCCACATGGGATGATAAGGCCTGGTATTCCTCAGTAGACTGACCCAGTGAGGCTTGTTACATGGCTGCTTTGAAGTGTGATGTCAACACTGGGTCAGAAGTTTTAACTCAAAACATGTAACCACCACAGGGCTGGAAATACTGGGTGCACGTGCACCTTAGTGCACCCAAAATTGTAGCAGCACACCTAATTTTTTTCTGTGCACCTAATGTTTTAAGTTGGGTGCAGCAGTGCACCTATTCCCAAAACCTGTACCAACACAGATGAACTTTCATGGTGATGTATAAAACAATATTTCCCACCTTCCAGAGGCCCTCCCCCACCAGGACCACCCCAGCAGTACCAGCCTGGCCCCCCCGGCCCTCCTATGTCTAACGTACAGACTGGACCGCCTGGGCCACCCATGTCTGGTGTCCAGTCCGGTCCACCCATGTCCGGTGTCCAGTCTGGACCACCCATGTCCAGACCACCTCCCAGTAGTCAGATGCAGGTAAGGCATTGTGTTGTCAGTTGTTAGAGCAGATTTCATTACAAGAAAATAGTTTGAGCCTTGATGAACTCGTTTCTACTTTTCTTTCTTATATAGTTAGTTTTACAGAGTGTGAACAGTCTGTTCATTTCTCCCATGTTTCAGACGGTGAACATTTTGTAGCTATCTCAAATGTAAAACTGCTGTGCGCTAAATGTTAAACAGTTTGTATATTGTCACATATAAACCTACATTGTATCTCCTATATTTCAGATGGTGAACCAGATGCAGACCATGAGTTTGTCTCAGCAAAGACCAGGTCCCCCCGCGCCAGGCATGGTGAGTTTACAGGGTTAATGTATGCACTATATAGAGGTTCATGTCAAAAGTTGCACTCGTTTGTGTTTCAGGGTTTGCTTTTGCCTTAGAGTCAGACAGGTTCCGGTTTGGAGTTGGCTGAATTTTGTATCTGTCAACATCAGTGCAGTGTTCCTGGCTGGAAAACCTCTCAGTTAGGAATGCCATATTTTCTGAACTACATTGTTGACTTTTTTTTGTACTTTTTGAGTACAACACATAAGCTCATTAGATTCAGATGCTTCTATCAGGTATTTTGTATGAAGTATAGGTTGTAGTCCTCTCATTCATGTATGAATGTACAAATGTTGTGGACACAAACAGTCGTTATGTTGTAACACTTTTAACAGTGTTGTTTTATGATTCCTGTTCCAGGGTGCACCCCCTCCAAGCAGCATGCCCCCCTCATCCTACGGACCCCCTGGAAGCTCTGCACCCCCCTCCAGCATGTCCATGGGACCCCCCTCCAGCATGCCCCCCCAGATGGGCCCCCCTGGACCGGGGATGTACAGCTCTGCTGGCTACGCCCCCCCTGCCTCACAGCCAGGCATGGTGGGAATGGTCAGTCAGGTTTTCATGTTTACCTTCACAGAAGGGAAACATATTGTTTTTGCTCTGTTTCTTCTTCTTCCTCTTCTTCAAACAAATAAACTTAATGACCTAGACTAGATTTCTGTCACAATTGTAACTAGCATTGTTGCAGGACAGATCTAGAGGGACTGCTCACCATATATTATATGTATGTATGTATGTATATATGAATGTGTTTCAGTAAGAATGAACAGAACAGTACATAGTTTTGTTAGGCTATACCTTGTGTAGATAAACATGCACTTGCAAATGTTCTAGTTGTAATTGTGTTAAGTTCTGTGCTTGTCATGTTGATTTCCGCCATGTTGATTTCTGCCATGTTGATTTCCGCCATGTTGATTCTGCCATGTTGATTCTGCACGCTTGTAGTTAACTGTAGAATCTCTCTGCTTCTCTCTTCTCTGCAGCAGAAACAATCAACAGACAAAAATAAAGTAAGTTCCCTCCTCTTCTCTACCCCTTACAAACTCGCCACAGCTTCAATCAGGCTTGTCTTGCAATCTCTTGTGCAGTTTGTATCATATCAATTGTTGTGTCTTCTTATAGTGCTGTTTATTTAGTACTTTGTACAATACTTGTCATCACAAAATTTTGAACTTTCAGAACAACATACAACATAGTAACAAATCTGTAAGCAATGTATGTTTGTAGCTGTTAAACAAATAAATATTGTAGAAAGAAGCAAATCTTTCAAAATGAGATGAAAAATTCTACACGGTAACAAGTTTAAATGTAGGCCTTTATTTTTTTTATTGCAATCACAACAGATTTTTGCTTCTGCAGATATTGATGTACATGTAGATAGACTTAAGTTAGTAAAGTGTTGAAAGTTGTATACATTATGATATGGCAGTATTTCTAGTCACACTCCCTCCCTATCCAGTCTATGCTCTTGACGAGTTTTTAATGTGGTTTGTTTGTTTGTCTGTTTGTTTCCAGCCCAACTATTCCGGTGCCCCAGGGTTCCAGGGGGGGTATGGCTCCCCTCCCACCAGCCAGGGGGGGTACGGACAGCCCCCTGGGCCGGGGGGGATGGGCGGTTACCAAGGGCAACCAGTGGCACAGCCCCCCCAGCAGAGGCGTCTGGATCCTGACCAGATCCCCAGTCCGGTGGGTTTGTGTGTTTGTTTGTTTGTGTTTCTGTACTGTGGAGGGATATAGCATGAACACTTACTGGTACCCATACATACAGGGAGCTGTGCTTTTGGTCAAAAACTGAGCTTCCTATCAATGTCAGAAACATTTTATATAAGTTCTTCTTCCGGTAATGCCTAGCCTCTACCAGGCTTGGGGAGGCGGCTGGAAAGAGTAGAAATCGGCCAAATAGAGAGATAAGCATGCCAAGGGAGTTTGTCCGTTGAGAGAACATTTCGCCGCACCCCGCTTATCTCTCTTTGGCCGATTTCTACTCTTTCCAGCCGCCTCCCCGAGCCTGGTAGAGGCTAGGTAATGCCCATCTGCAAAGAAATTGGCAATAACTGACATGTTGGGGGATAGTTGTGTAAAGTGCCTTTCCCAAGTGCACAACATTGGGGCATGTAGGTGGAATAGAACCCAGGACCTATGGGTTCTGGGCCGAAAGCCCTCCCATTATGCCACACGACACCACAAGTTACATCCAATCTTCCAGCTTTCTAGCTCCATATGAAAAAGTAGGGGGAGGGGGGTAATGTCCAGAATATTTTCTCATTTTCACATAAGGCTTGTGCCGAAGTGGTGGGGTCGGCTCAAAAGTCTGTCCCTACCTTAAACAAGAGCTTAGTTCCCTGTTATGACAGTTTGGAAATGAATGTTTTGTTTGATTTCCTACGTTTGAAGTTTGTGCATGATTGATCACGAGCAGTCTCCTATCACCACGGTGGCAGTGCATGTTTTTTCTGCATCTTGTTTTTGCACATTTGTTCCACTATTATTTTCCTTTCTTTTTTACCCTTGTTTCCCCACTTTCAGGCCAGGCTGGACCCAGACCTAATTCCTAGCCGTGTGAGTGGTTTATATTGTAACGGCCCAGCTAAAGGCCACAGCAAGTCAGTTCCACGGTTCTGGAAACCAAATTTTCTGTCACTCCTGTGAAAAGTACTGTACAGTATAAAAAGTGAAAACCGAAGAACTGACTTGTTGTTGCCTTATACCCCATGTAAGTGCATGACGTTAGGCTGCATGTGATGTAGCCGCATGCGCATGCAATATGAACCAAGGCTTGTTTACTATCCTGTGCTAGTAGATCTTTTTACTTCTCTAACTTTTTACTTTTCTCAGCATGTCACCCCCCCCACCCCACCAGAAAAAGGTTTCACACCAGTGTTTTGTATAACATTATGCCCCCCTCCCCACAGATCCAGGTATCACACCAGTGTTTTGTGTTTTATGTAACATGTTTTTCCGCCCCCCTCCCCACAGATCCAGGTGATTGAGGATGACCGGACCAGTCGTGGAGGTCAGCAGTTTGCCACCAACACCAGAGGACTGATGCCTCCTCTGGTCACCACGGACTTTCTTACTATCGACCAAGGTTTGTATTCTTCATCCTAAAACCACCAAACCCCCAGTTCTATAAGCCTGCTACGGAGGCTAGATATTTTTCATGTTTTGTGACTTTGTGTTGTCCTTATTTCCAGGGAACTGTAACCCAGCGTTCATGCGAGCGACCATGTACAACATCCCCTGTACTGCAGACATGTACAAACAATGCAGCGTTCCCATGTCCCTGGTCATCAAGCCATTCGCACAACTCAAGCCACAGGAGGTAAATACACCCCTCTAGTATAGTGGTCTCTTCCACTTCATAGTGTTTTTGAATATTAGTTTGGACTGATCCATTGATGTGAGAGGTAAATCACAGCAGACATGTGCAAACAGTGCAGCGTCCCCATGTCTCTGGTCATCAAGCCATTCGCACAACTCAAGCCCAGGAGGTAAATACACCCCTCTAGTGAAGTGGTCTCTTCCACTTCATAGTGTTGTAAGACTTGAGTTTGGACTGATCCATTGATGTGAGAGGTAAACTGAATGCAGTTATACCTACTAACTTATACAAGTTATTTATTTCAGGCCTACTTGTGTGTGTAGGTCAGGGGAGTGTGTAACTGTTGTTAGGGAGGCCAAAGTGAAAGTTAAACACCAGGGGCATTTTCATGGCATGTTCAACCAGGAAATTGGAATTTCTATTATAATCCGAACATATCACCTAAAAGAATGCAAAAAGTTCTATAAGTCTGCCAAGTTTGGTTTGGTGTTTCCCTCTATATCATGTTTTATCGCAATTTGAAAACCGTACATAAGTCAGTTTTCACGCCGCTCGGGCCGTCGGCGTATTCAAAATGGCGCCTGCGCTAATGTACTAAATCCCATACCCCAATTTCAAAGTGCGCGCGCCCAGAATGGGCCTAGATGTAATACTAACTTTGATTGGTCGTCGCTTCGCTGAAATAAGTCGTACAGCCAATCCAAGACCAGCTTCTGAAAGCTAATATTTGGGAGAAACCAACTTGCCTATGCGGGGATAGCTTGGTGCAGTGCAGGGTTAGTGCGTGCGGTGTTGAAAATAGGTCATTTTTCTTCACGTAGTAACTCAAAATTTCTTAAAGATATCAAACTCCGCATAGAATGTGTGTGTAGGTAGCAGTGTTGTTCACATTTGTGTGGATTTTCGTGGCCATAGAAGCAATAATATTCGTGCGATGGCCACCGGCGCGGAGAGTGTCAGTCGGAGAGACGACGTTTTCAAGGCGCCGCCATTTTCCCTGCTGTCCAGAGGCATGAAGGACGTAACTTTCCGGTGAGTTTTCGACACGTAATCGAGTTTGTTTCACTCAAGCTACAGTCAAAGCACGCATATATAGTTTGTAGACATTATGTGATAGATTTTCTTTGTCTTGTACCTCGTAAATAGACGGCGAATTTAGAACATTTTCTTGTTATGGTATGTTATGGGGTGGCGGTGGGAGGGGGGCGCACCAACATGTTTCCAGTTGCAGTTTTGTTTTATAATTCATACCATTTTTGGGAAAGAAGGTTTTGCTTATAGTATCCCGATCTCGAATCAGCCACATGTTGCGTACTTTATACACTCCTAATTTAGTTTATTTCTCTGGGTTTAAATTCATTTATTGACTGTGGTAGCACAAATTTTATTGTGTTCATATATTTTGTATTCATTACATAAGAAACTCACTAGCCATGGGGTAAATTCTTCCAGGGTTCAGAATAAAACAAATATTGTCTCTAGGATTTATTATGGTGATTTCATTATTGCTTGTGTGTAGGACCTTTTTTTTAAGTACCATGTATGGAATTCATTAATTTTTTTTATGTATGTTCAATTTTTTTTATGTATGTTCAATTATTCATTTCCTTCTGTAATTTATCTGATTTATAGGCTAGACGAAGATGGACTTCCCACATCAAGATGTACATTCCAGTCCCTCACAAACTGGGATGTCCTGGAAATGTTCGCTACACGCAAACATACTTATGCCCTCACACCTGTAAAAAGATCCAAGCTAAGGAGATCCTATGGCGCAGCTCCGTCACGTCGCGCTGTACAAATAGGTGAGCTGAATGAAATCACTTACACCTATTTCACTCAAGTCAGTGACTTTGTATTATGTTGAAATAATGTGTCTTTTATTGCTAAATACATGTATGTCTTTTGTTTCTGTATCTCCAGCAGAGAGCAGTGAATCCAGCGACGAGGAGACACCTCTGGCGCAGCTTCGCCATCCCAGAAGTGGCCCACGATGTGGGTTCGCCATCGCATCGGCACTATAGACAGGTTTGACTGTACTTCCCTTTCCAAAGTGCTGATGTCACATTGCTGTGTTTCCTGAATTAACTTACTTAATAATGACAACCAACTATACCCTTTTTGTGGCTTTGATTTCTGTAGGTCACGAGGACCCATGCAGCTCCAGCGAAGACTTCGGTGAAGACGACATGCCGTTGGCACACCTTGCATATAGGGAAGGAGGCACCTGTTACAAAATGCCATGTTTAGATTTATCAGTATATGTGCACTAGGGTTATTAAGACCACTGTCACTGATTTCTGCAATAGAGCATACTTATATCACATTGGAAGTGCAATTTGATGCCTCAAGTTCCATTGAAAGTTGTTTTTTGCGTAGACAGAAAGTGTCTCATGTGGGGTGGGGAGGGGGGCGGTTAGTACAAAATGCCAATTTCAAGTTCAGCTATCTCTGTTTCTGTGTACAATAGGCTTATTATTGCTATAACAGCACATTGTGGGTGCAATTTCGTGCCTCTACTTGCATTGAAAGTTGTCTTTTGGGTTGACAGAAAGTGTCTCAAGTTGTCATAGCCTATAAGGCCTAAGCCTGGGGGGGGGGGCAGTTTGAAAAAAAAAGCCATCTTCAAGTGTAATGTTCTCTATTTATCTATATAGTAAGTTCATTTGAGCATTATGTGAGTAGAATATAGTATTATGCCACACTGTGAGTGAAAATTTGAGCCTACAGGGCCATTAGAAGTGCCTTTTTACATTGGTCAAAAGTGGCTCGTGGCAGGTGGGGGGGGGGCGGTTTGTGAAAAGTGACATTTCAAAGTGTACCTTTCTCAGGATATGTATACTATATGTTTGTTTGTGCATTATGTTAGCAAAATGTAGCACTATGCCACACTGTCAGTGAAAATCTGAGCCTCCAGGGCCATCAGAAGTGCAATTTTAAGTTTGTCAAAAGTGGCTCATGTTGCATTGTTACAGGTGGGGAGGGGGCGTTTTTAACTAAAATGCCAGTTTTAGGCATTCTTTTCTCAGGTTTTATGTTACTTTGTCTTATTGTTATCAATCACATTTGATATGTACTATGTAGTGACATTGTAAGTGAAATATTGAAGTTCTTAATGTTTTGGAAGTGGTGTTTTGAGTTGGCTAAAGTGGCTCATGTTGCATTATTTTTGTGGGGAGGGGGGCATGTGGGAACAAATGTCAATATTGGATATAGCTTATAATCTNGCCCGACGGGATAAAGCAAGTACTTGTTGGTGCAGGGACACAAACTGAAAAAAATACAAAATAGGAAAATTCAGTTTATACGCACGCACACACAAACATAAATACAGAGACACATTCCCACATTTTGTTTCCATTGACAGGGTTGATGTCGTCGACGTTAAAGCATTTTGGGCAACCACAAGAAAATCTAAATGATGTAGACCTGAGCTGGGCTTTAGCAACCTTAAGGCAGTGGTCTTTACATCTTCTTGCTCTGGGCTTAGACCACATGTCTGTAGGGCATGATTTACCACCTCTGAATGGATTGTACCTGTTCTATCAGGCTTGTCTGTTGTACTATTAGACCAGGATGCTAAACCTGACATATTCAAGAGTAGGCCACAAAATCCCTACGTTCCCACCGGTATTAAGTCTTCGTGTCAAAACCGTGTTTCTTCAGACACTTGAGCATTTCGCAGTACTAACAATCATTGTGTACTAATGAAGGAAACTTTTTTGGCCAAATTTAATTTTGTTTGCACACGTCAGTTGGGAACCCCAGGGATGTTTTCCCTGAAAACTGAGTAAAAAGAGTTTCGCCGAGTGCAGTGGCAGCCCACGACTCGTCTCCACCAGCCCTGAACTCAAACGTACATACATTACCTGCAATGGTGTTGGACTTGGCCTCCAGCAAACCCATCTGGTAAGTGTGCTCATTCCAGAGGTCTGCCAGCACTGGAGCTTTCTCCGACTCCCTGCTCCTTGCCTCCCTGCCGAAGTTCTATTATCTACATCTATAGGATACTGAACAATGCCCTCATGGGGCTTCACGTCCAGGTGTACGACGTGTGCGGCCAGGTGGGGTGAGTGGTGCATCTCAGTGTCCCCACTGAGACGCCCGAGTCTCAGGCCTGCCGTCATCGGCAAACGAAAAAAAAAAGGTTCTGCCTACCTTTAAACCACCGCAGCCAGGACCGTAGATGCTCCAGCCTCCAGTTCTGTTCCACAATCATGTGAACCGGTGACACAACAGGCCGCGTTTGACCTACATGTCCAGGAACTGGGTGGGTGTGGCCGATGTCCATCTCGTTGATGGCCTCCTGGAGATTTGAATTAGATACTAACCTGATCTGTCGGAAGCTGATTTCATCAAAGTATGTGTTGCGGGGTACGTACACCTTATCTATTGGGTCGTACACCGAAGACGGTGTTTTACAATGAAATTGATACGGTGGCTGTGGTCCTCTCTAAATTTGGCGGTCTGCGATCTTCCGATGTTGTCGACGTCATCATAAGCTTCATACTTGTGTGTGATCGAATTTAATTTCAACTGCGAAAACTTACCTTTTTTTTGTAGAATTTCATGACTTGGTCAATTTGACCGAATGGCGCAAGCATCACCATGACCCCAAATGCAGCCACTACAGCCCCATCACTGCCTCCACTGACACGCTCCAATCTCTCCCTGGACAGGTTCCTCCTCCTGTACCAGGTATCCGTCTGGCCAGTCATCATGGCGAGCGTGGTTAGGTTTTGATCCAGCTTAGTCTTGATGTAGACATTCCTTACATTTTCATCACAAGTCTTCAGTTCCTTCTCCCATGTACTGAGTCACTCCTTCTTTGCCTCAGCTTCTCTTTTTCCTCAATTACCTTTCATGTATGTCGACTTGTGCTGCACCTTGGCCATGAACTGTGCCTGGAACAGCCGTAACACCGGGTTTTCCTCACCAATGTCGTCTGCTGGGGCGGAAATGGCCGCCATTGTTGCTGTACCATCCACGCATGGGCATGCTGGGTACGGTCCGTAGCTTGGTGGTCGCCACAATAACAGACAGATGAGAAACTTGCACGACTTGTCTTTCCTGAGGGGGTCTCTGGGACGTCCTGCTCGGTATAGGGTCTAAAAAAGTAGCATATGATGGAAAAATTTGAGCCGTATTTTTTGCGGAGCAGCTCCACTCGGAGCAGTGCTGTAGACCAGACTGAGTTATGGGAAAGGTCATACAGAGGTCCTTTCGCACGCAGTTTAGCCAGATTCTAAAATTAAACCATGTATTCATCTTTGATTTTTGATATAGATGTATCAAGAACATTACTCTTTGCCATACAATAGCGCGTTTTTTTTCAGGGTGGTTTGTTAAACAGTTTACACTTTTCATCTTGTCATATAGAGTGTTATCTTGTTTGACACTGGTATTTTCTAACACGCCGTCCTCATCACGGTCCAAGTCTACATGTTGGAGGTTGGGATATCTATTACCAAGCACTGAGTACCAATTAGCAAGCACGACTTCGTAACATGTGCGGCGTTGCCTGGCAGAAGATTCAAAGACAAACAAAGAACCCTGCAATATACGGAGCAAAATGAACGCGCAAACAAATATCTGAATAATCTTTTATTGAAATTCATGCCCGAGGGCTAATTGCAGGAACAGAAGAAACATTTGGTATAAAAAAAAGACTAGTACACATGAAACTACTGATAACTTACTAAAAAACTACCAGTTAAAACTACTGGGATTGACTTGTTTTTTTAAGACAGAGGAAGACAAATGATCCCAATTTTTCTGTAATTTGTTGGTTTTTCGGATGTTAAGAGGTGAGTAGTTGTTTCTTTAATAACATATAAACATTGTTTTCCAAGAAACCTGCTCTCATGGCTGTACCTACTTGAAATCATCTGCTGATGAGGAAGGTTCCTCACTGCGAAAGGTACTGGAGCCATTCACACAGAGGAAACGCATCGTCTCCCATGATGAAGTAGGGGGTGCCCCTGTCGTCGATAGGCAGGGCATTAGATAGTGGCAGTGCAATAGTGCCCTCTTCTAAGTTGTGACGTAATGTGCTCAGTTGTAATATGGCAGCATCCGAGGTCGACCCTAGTGGTTCTGTTAAACAGTTTACACAGCACGCACACATACACACACGCACACAAACAAACACACACGCACACACACACACACATACACACACGTACACGTCGGGACAAAAAGAAAGAGCTGGGCACAGATCAACATTTGTAAAAGTAAACTAAAATCATTACCAGTTCAAGGCTAGCGTTCTTCCTGGTCTAAGAAACTTTGCAAGCGTTGCGTACTTGTTTCTGATCACCCTAAGTGCAGGTAAACAAACAACCAACACGGACATATATTGCTCAGAGTTTTTATTATCGTGCACTTTATCCACATGTACACTGTACAAACAGTTCCGTGTCGTTACAAATCCACAAGAGGTGTATGACATATTTAGTTGCATGTCATCAACAGGTCCGTGTCGTTACAAATCCACAAAAGGTGAACGACATATAGACTTGCATGGCTTCCGATTAATTCTTTTTTTCCGATTAACAATCTTTTGCGAAATGACCCAATTGCTGACAGTTGTTTATCTTCTGGTCGCGCGGTTGGAGCGCCCTTGTTACTTCTATCTCTAGTACATAAGGGCCCGGCCTGGCTTGTTTTCCCTTGGAACCCGCAGAACCCTTAGACAGGTTACCTTGGCATTTCACAAACTGTGCTATGTCCCGCGCTGCTTGCTTGACGATACGACAGCCGAATTGGTTCACAAGCAGTTGCCTAAAGAAAGGCTGGGTGACTAGAGGCGAAATTTGGTCTAAGATTATAGAATGTTCCTCGGCCTTGGCGTGCCGTTCCTTCCTCGCCTGAGCGACCAGTGCCTCCACCAAGTCGAGCTCGCGGTGAGCGTCGAAAGCCACCTCTGGCCTGCTGACGTACTGCAGTACCTCTTACTTGTTGTCGTCGGCTGCACGTCCGCTCTTCAAAGTCCCAACGTGTTTCTTCAGTTCTTGCAACTCTCGCACAAGAGCTGCGGGGAGGTAAGACAGGTGCTGGATTTCGTCTAGAGGAGATGAGTTCTGTGACGCGTGGAGGCTCTGTCTAATGCAGCAGTTACATTAAGAAGGGTAACGTGACAATCACAACCATTTTCATCTCCTTGTTGCCCAATGAAGCTTTTGTAGACTCTCTCGGTGTCTTGTTGGATGTTAGGAGGGTCATGGATGGAGACATCATGAAGCGGCCTGGTACCTGTCTAAGTTGAGGTTTTGAAGTGGTGTGTCTGCCCACCCAAACAAAAGTGCTGGTGGTCGGTAAACACCCTGTGGCTGTATCCTCAGCAATGCCTGCAGCTCTTTCGATGTCTTCGCCCCGCCAGTGCCCAACATGGTCCGAGAAACAAGCTCCCTGACTAACTCTACCTTAGACATGTGGTCCATTGTGGTCAAGCCATCTATATGGTCTTTTCCCATGT